TAGCCACTACCAAGGTAGTGGCTATTCTTCCTGGGGTCCAGATGGTTCCTGTTTGGTTCAAATTTAGTTTTTGGGGGACCAAATTTTTATTTTTTGGTAACGTAAACAGTGAGTTTTATTTTTGTTTTGTAACAACTTTAGAAGAACCTAAAGGCGAACATTCCATGAACATTCCCCTAAGCCACTGAACATCATGCGTAAAGAAAAACTTCCTGGCTAACCAAATCCAGAATGTTTTGAGAACCAATAATTGTTAGCAGGGTTGAACTAAATCTTTTATTATATTGATTTATTTATTTACTGCATGTTGGCTAATAGCTGATGCACATGCTAACCCAAACCCTTATAAATTTCATCGTAAAAATGTTTAGAGTCTCTCACATCAAAACAAATTAATGTACAGACCTTGACAGACGGCTTATTTTTAAAGTTTCATAAAATGTTCACGCGTTGGCATTAAAACATAAACATAATTTCGAGCACTGAGTGACCAAAATGGCATTTATCACTGTAACTTCAAATATTTCTTTATAGCAAAAAAATAACCTATGAGAAACAGTTGGACGTGATGAATCATATGAACCGATTCACTAAAAAGCTCCGTTCGTTCGCATTCCCAACGGATTTCCCAGCGGTACTGAACAAGTCCAGCCCTGTGGTAGAATAAAAGAGAAGGGGTGGGTGTAAAGACACCTGCAGGTGGTAGTAAACGCCCCCTGCCGCCTTGCCAGACTACTGTAACAGAATGAATCCAGCATAGCAATTGATTTTGAGGCGGGATATTAAACGGACGCGATCGTGTAACAGAGTGAATCGGTTATGGGCTGAAACCGAGAACACAGCCGGCAGAGAAAGCCTGTTATTTTTCAGTCAAGACACGTCTAATTAAGAGCACTTAAACTCTCGCGGGTTTGTGTTGAGCGGGTTTATTTCAATTACACGGGGGTTACAGCTGCATAAAGATGAAGAATTATTTTTACAACACGCCTACTTGTAGCTACAATAAACGCGTATTGAACCACGAGGCTTGTTTGATCTTTTAGACGCGGGAATGAAAAGAGAACGAGTATCTGATAATATAGTTAGGGAATATTAAAACACACCTGCAACCTCAAAGCAGTTTTAAAGAACATTTCTAAGCATTTCTATATAGTTACAATAAACTTGGTTGGCACCAAAAACAATGGGATTAGATTTGTGCAAAATAAAATGAATGCAACTTTTACGAAAAATAACACAATTCTAAATTAAAATGACAATGGGAATAAAATAAAACTTAAAAAAAAAAAGAATTAAAGACAATCAGCTTTACTTTCGCTTAAAAAAAGATTTAAAAATTACTTTTGGAATAGATAGATAAAAATCTTTCTTTATTTAAATTACTATAATGTTTTTTTTTTTTTTTTTTTTTGTAGGCCAAAAATGTATTTTTAAATAACCGAATGACCTAAATTAAATATTTTAATGCTTAATAGGAGAACAACTTACAATCACATAAGCATCAGTAAATCTTCATTGCTGACCCAATTAGAATGCAGGCAGCAGAAATCGAGAGTCATCAGACCAGGCAACACTTTTTCAATCTTCTATTGTCCAATTTTGGTGAGCCTGTGTGATTTGTAGCCTCAGTTTCCTTTTCTTAAATGATAGGAGTAGCACCCAGTGTAGGCTTCTGCTGCTGTAGCCCATCTACTTCAAGGTTGGACGTGTTGTGCTTTCAGAGATGCTGGCCGTTCTCCTCTGACCTCTGCCATCAGAAAGGTTTTTTGCGCCAACAGAACCGCCGCTCACGCATATTTTCTCTTCTTCAGACCATTCTCTGTAAAGCCTAAAGATGGTTGTGCGTGAAAATACCAGTAGATCAACAGTATCTGAAGTACTCAGACCAGTCCTTTTGTCACCAACAACAACCATGTCACGTTCAAAGTCACTTAAATCACCTTTCTTTTCCATTCTGGTGCTCAATTTGAATTGCAGCAGACGGTCTTAACCGTGTTTACATGCCTAAATGCATTGAGTTGCTGTCATGTGACTGACCGATTAGAAATTTGCATTAACGAGTAGTTAAAGATATACCTAATAAAGTGGCCGGTGAGTGTATATTACAGTAGACTGTAAATCAGAGGTCACACAAGCTATTTGTTTCCCAAATGCTGAATATCACATTTGAAAGCTCAATAGCATTGAGCATATTAAGAGAATAATAAAACACTCACCTTTCATTCATCTCAAAGCAGTTTTAAAGCCAAATTCTAAGCATTTCTACAGTTGCCATGCACTTGGGTTGGCACAAAAAACATAGCAACGGCAAAATGAAGGGTTTCAGTGTGGCGGGAGACTAGGAAATGTTCATGACAGCTTAATTGGCATCTAAATAATAAGACACGGCTAATTAAAAACAAAAGCAGCATAAATTACAACATGACTGCTGAAAGACATGAGGACTCAATTGCACGTTTTGGCTGTGATTGGTTTAATGCAAACACTGCTCAGCTGTAAATTATTCTACAGAATATGTTTTCAGAAATTATGTCAGCGATACAAAGAAGGTTCAGATGAAGGTGAAAAACATTTATTAGGATATACAAACCAGGCCAACAGGAAAATACACCATGAAGCGTTGCTCAGAGGTTGAACCTAAGGTGTGAAAATTGACTCAGATTTAAACCCCAAAGGCAAAAGTGTGAAAAACGTGTGTAAAATGTGAAAATATGATATTTTATTGATCAACTGATGTGCAAATACTTACAGTAACAATATGGCGCAGTCAGAGCTACGTGGAAAGTGGCGTTAAAAACATTAACCAACGTTTTAAGACTGAGAACGATCAAAACTAACAATATGTGGTAAAATGTTGACTCTAGCAGAGTTAAGCATCCATGTTATGAACGTTTGTACTAAAAGTAAAGTGTTTTAATATTCTATGATTCAAGCTACTTGCAACATTTTAATGGTTATATGCACAACCTGAATATCATATACACACTTTGTATAGACATAGATTTCAGTATAAATATGTTAAATGTACAATTTGCCTTTTTTTATAAACAAAAATAAAAGCCCTACAATTGCACGAGCAGGTGGGTCAATCTTACAAAAAAATTGTTTTTTTTTCATCAAAAAACAAAATAATATCTATATATTCAACTTAAAAACAAACGAAAAGAAAATCAGCCATATTGAAGTCTAGTATTGATTTCGTAATGAAATGTTTATAACTCTATTTTGAGAAAATAATATTTATATCAAATATTTATAAATAAAAGTGCTTAAATTAGATATATAGGTTTTACAATATTTAATTATGCACTTTTTACGATCGTAGAAATGAAGCAGAAATACTGTAGTTAAAAAAAATCATGTTGTAAAATATGCTATAATTCTCTTTATTTGTCTATTAATTTGGCTAATTCGTACAAATTTATACAAGTTAAGTCGTACGAAAGTGTACGATTTTAAAAAGGAGGTGTGGCACCAAACGCCGCCCCTTAACCCAATTGTCACTGAGGTATAAGCAACTTGTACTAAATTGTGCGAATGAGATGGTACAAATTCGTACGAATAAGGCACTAAATCAAAAAGTTACGAATTACTATGAGATTGTGCTGGATTCACCAAGGTAACTGATGATAAGGTTGTCATGATACTGGAATTCGGTACCAATTGGTACTAAAATTTTAAAAACGTCCATTTCCCGCTAACATTTAAGCGCCGTTGAGCACGTCACGTATTTTAAAGTCACGTCAGCACCTTTGAGCATGTGTTTTAAAGTCACGTCAATCAGCTGGTTGTCTATAAGCTGACATACGAGCAATCTGCTGATGAATCGTGGCTTTAAAACGCTCCAGTGTCCGTCTATCTATGGTGACACTCAGTAAATAGCGGTGAGTTCGGTGAACTGATGACCTTTACAGCCAATCAAAGTCATTTCTGTTGAGTACGTGAACACAATGGTAAATCGGTAGTGTTTAGGAACATAAAAATTATACGAATGAGGTTGTACGAATTCGCATAAATTAAAATCATAAAGTTACGAAATCAAAAAGTTACGTATTGCTGTGAGATTGTGCTGGATTCAGCCAGGTAACTGATAATAGAGTTGTGACACTACTGGAATTCGGTACCAATCATTACAGTGATTTTAAAAATGTCCATTTCCCACTAACATTTAAGAGCTGTTGAGCACGCCACTTATTTTAAAGTCACGTCAGCACCTTTGAGGATTTGTTTTAAAGTCACGTTAATCAGCTGGTTGTCTATAAGCTGACATACGAGCAATCTGCTGATGAATCCGCTTTAAAACGCTCCAGTGTCCCTGTATCTGTGGTTACACTCAGTAAACAGTGGTGAGTTCGGTGAACTGATGATCTTTACAGCCAATCACAGTCATTTCTGTTGAGCGTGTTGAGCATTTCTGTTTAAGAACGTGCTCAACAGTGCTCAAATGTTCGCAGGAAATTGACAATTTTATAATTTCGGTATTAATTGGTACCGATTTTCGGTTTTGTGACAACCCAAACTGATAAAGGGGGAATAATTAAAGTTGCATAATTAAATTATAAAAAAATATATATATATATATATATATATATATAATCCACACATACAATAACAGTAATCACACATTTAAAAAAGAAAACGGACAGCCTTCCCTTTACCTTGTGGAGTGTGTGATAGGTATTACTCTAAACTGTATCAAACCCGACTAGCATAACTATATCAAAGAAGCTCCAAAATAACTGTCATAAAATGCGACCGTAAACCATCAAATTTGGTGGACATCAATCACACTTGAGTCTTGTTTCACTACTTAGTAGCTACGTAAAAAAAACCTTTAAAACAGGCCAGAGCAAAACCAATATCCAGTTTTTTAACAGCGGCATCCTGAGGGAGGCTGGCAGGAGAACTTACTGATCAGGAGATGAATGTGCAGACTTCTAAGGGCCTAGTGCAAATGCATGCTTGAATCGTTCAGTCTTTTTACTGTGCGTCAGAAGCCATCAAGGCCACAGGAGGAGCTGTAAAAGAGGAAGAAGTAGGATGAAGGAGATGGTTGGGATGTGGGTGACTCCGCTGGTCTGCACATCTCGTTTGGGTCCATTGTTAGGAGGCTGGACTGGGATTTTGCCATACTGGGATGGAATTTGAACACTGCTTATGTTTTCTTTTATTAAGTGCACTGTTGGGAGAAGAAGAAAAAAACGGGGTGAGGATTAGATACAGATAACATATTTACGCTGATTTGTAAATGCTTTCTGTTGTTGATGTTCTGTGAGGAATTTCAACCGAGACATTTTTTTTTCCAGATAACAAGGAATGGACCTTTGGATAACTTTCTAGCAACATTCCCTCAACATTCAGAAGAAATAGAATGTTTGTTAAACATAGCTCGAACACGTTATTTCCATATCCTTTACAGAGCATTTTTCTGAAACTGTTTGGTTTGAGTTTGTCTGTTAAAAGTCACATTAAAGTTTTTTAGATGATAGTTTTAAGGATATAAGCTTGTGTGTTCTAAAACAGTGACAAAATTCACGTTTAGAAGATATAAACCTGATATAAACACCCAAAGCTTGCAGTTTGTCACTTCCGCATAAATGGGTCAACATTTTACGACGATCACCTCATACTTCAAATTCTTTTCAAATCATCTGAACATTCAAATGCTCTCAAGTTTCTGACTTCCCCCACCCACTTCAAATGCTTCTTATTTGCTGTTTATTTGATGCGCTTGATTTCAACCACTCTCACTGATTAGTTGTTTTTTTTATAAAGGGGAGGGGCTACTACATGTCCCGCCTTGTCTTTTTGTTTCAGATTGTTACATTTAGAATAAAAAAGACACGTTTCAAAGCACTTCATGGGACGTTTAAACCAGTTTTTCCCCACCCTGTTCTTGGAGGCACATCAACAGTACATATTTTGGATGGCTCTCTTATCTGACTCATTAACCTCAGGTTTTGGAGTCTCTTTTTATGTTCTGATAAGTTGATTCAGGTGTGTTTGATTGATTAGGAAGGTTGAAAATGTTTACCGTTGTTGGAACATGCCTTTAGGAACAAGGATGGGAAACACTGCTTACAAAAAGGGCTCTATTTTAGCGATCTAGGCACATAGTCTAAAGCGCATGGTGCAAAAGCACTAAAGGTGTGTCTGAATCCACTTTTGCTATTTTAAGGATGGAAAAATATGCTTTGCGCTGTGGCACATGGTCTAACAGGGTTGTGCTTATTCTCTTAATGAGTTATGGGTGTGTTTTAAGCATAACCTGCATTAAAGAGTCTCATCTCACATTCCCTTTAAGAGTTGCATCACACCCAGGAGCATTTGCTATTTACATGGTGGACTTTGTAAGTGGAAAAACTGAACACTTCACTTGTGAGAAAACCGACCATCTGCAGCGCGAGGATAAAGAATGAGCCTCCACCATTCGGTCTCTTCATTTTCTCTTTACTTTACGTTTACTCTTTACTTTACTCCTTTACTTCCGTGGATAGGGAAACGCTGTTGTACGCACTCGACAGAAAACATCCATTAGCCTACATGTTTAATTTTGTTTGTTAAGACAAAGATTTTTTTTCAAAACTATTTCTAAATTTAGTTCAAATTTCCAGCAAAGGAATAAATGAACAATAACAACGTGTGGTCAAAAAAAATCGCTTTTAGTTGGCTGATGGTGTGGTCTATGTCAGTTCCTCAAAATAGCAACACACAAACAATGCGCCTTAACACACCTCCCTTTTAGACCGGCACACCCATGAGTCCACAAAGGGGTGCAAATGGATTTGCTATTTAAGCAACATGGTGTAAAACATGAAAATTAGGGTTGCGCTGGTCTGAAAATAGCAACAAATCATGCCATACATGACTTGTGCCTTATTGCGCCGGGTGTATGATAGGGCCAGAAACTCCTTTCAAATGGTTAAATAAAAGTCACTTTTCAAAAGGAAAAAGTTTCTTGATGGTTCCATTTAATGGAGCGTCCCATTTCTAACAATTGTTTCCTATTTAACAGGCTAAAATTTCGGCAAGGTTTTTCTCAAAGTCTCAAAGATGTGAATAGAGGTGAATTATGGCCACATGGTGTAAATGATGTGGAATGCTGTGACATGTGGAATGTAACTGAATCAAGAAATTCACATAAGGATAAAAACATCCCCTGAATAAGCCGGAGCTAGTGAAGTGGTGTTTTGCATCTGCTGTGAAACTAGCATAAATCAACCCAGTCTTGTTCAGCTATATTTATGGGGACTTCCTAGAAATATTTCTATACTGTACAAACTGTATAGCCTGTTCCCTTAAACCAAACCCTCATAAGAAACAATCTGCATTTTTACATTTTCAATTCATTCTGTGTAATAAAGTCCTTTTCTTCATCAGGGAAAAAATGTCCCCACAAACGTCAGAAATAACTGGTTTTGCTATACTCGTGGGGACATTTGTTACACACACAAACACGGAGTAATGCCTTCAGCTGAACATATGTGCATTGCGCAGCAGATGATCGGGACCATATATCAGCAGCAGACTCGCAAATACAAACCAACAGACGGCAACACATTAACACGTCACAATCAAATGATGCATAGCATCCGCACGGACACAAACCAATGGCTTAACGTTTGAATATCTGGCCACAAACAAACACATTCACGGTTTAATGTTTCACAGGCGTGTTTTACCTGATTTCACAATAAATACGAGCCAGACGCAACAAGGAAGGGTGAGACGAAAACAAGTCACACCTTTTCCTAATGAAACCCAACCTGAGATCCCTCACACAATGGCCATTGTGCTGCGTTGTACAATACACAAAGGCTTCATTTATTCACAATCACTGCTGATGCCAATTAAAGGGTAAACCGATCTGATTGGCATCAGAGTGGAGAGCAAATGCCCGCGGGCTGCTTGGCTTTGACAGGAGTGATGTGTAGGAATGATCACATATGCTGGATAATATCTTGCTAAATATGCGGTGGCCGTGTGAAATTGAGGTTTCTCGCTGATGGTGGAAATGTTGGAGGATATACACATTCAGCATATTGTACTTTTGGTGCCTCTTCAAAGAGCATTGGGAAGCCACCATGGGGTGTACTTGAGGATGTTTTTACATCCTAATGGATATACTGTATTTTTTAGCATAGCAAAATGGGAGACTTTGCAAGATTTCAGCATTTCTAATCAAGACCACATCATTTTTTCATTGCATTCACACAGAATGAAACTGGCATTGAATAGACAAATACTGCTAATAAAAATTATAATACTTTATAAAAAATATTAAATGTGTAACATCCTATATAAATAAAAATCAATAAATTACAGAATATATAACTATATAAATTCAATATAAATAACTATATACATGCAAATAATGTGAAATAAAAATGAAAACACCTAGTTTAATGTAATAAAATAGTTTTTAACAATTTTTAAATAATTTGTCAAAGAATATTTATAAATCAGATGTGTTTTTAGCATGTATCTGGTCAAATATTGCAGAAACACATTAAATATACATTTAGAGATAACACAAATAACATAAATGTTATTGTGGTATTTTAAAATGAAGCATTTATTTCTGTGTGTACACTTGCATATAATCTACTGTAGGTGTCACATTCACCAGTGATCTACTACTTAAGATCGCTGGTAAACACACATATTCACATGAACTACAATTCCGCCATGTCATGGACTACATATTCAGTCATGCAGGACACACACACCTGCTCCAAGTGATCACTGATTACGTACACTCATAGCTGAAGCTGCTCAGACTGATTACTTGGACTACAAATATAGCACACTAACACACAGTTGTTGCTGAGTCTTGTTTTCTGTTATAGTCATATCACAACGCGTTTCCTTTGCCGTGTTTTTGATTCTCGCCTTGTTTTCTTGTTTTATTCCTGTCTTCTGCCTGCCTTCTGACCATATACCTACTATTTCGACTGACTCTGGATTGCCCTCATACATCTGTTTGCTCCTGTGTTGATCATTGCTTGCCTGACCATCCTGTCAATAGCCCCTTTCACACAGTGATACCGGCAAATATCCAGAAAATTTCCGGAATGACTTTACTGGTAAATTCAATAAAGCGCTGTTCACACAGGCAAGGACTTTACGGAATTTTACCGGAAAAAATGTTCAAACATCCATTCCAAAACACCGGTAAATTCTGACATCATTACCCAGAAACGACCTCTAAACGTCTAGGCTTGTATTTGTAAACATTTGACTACTTTACAAACTCTGTGGATGGATCAGTATTGTGAACAACTTTGATGAAAACATGGAGGAACACTTTCACATGTCGAGATGTACAGGATATGTGTGTGTGCTGGCACTCACCGACTCCTTCACAGGCACACGCGACGCGTCAAGCAACTGCAGCAAGCAGAGCTTGAAGGTAAACAAACAACGGCTTATCATAAGCATCTTATCGATAATTATTTACACAGTTGGCAATAAGAAGTACCATATAAATGTTATCTGACTAACATCTAGCAGCTAAATGTGTCTGGAAAAATATTCAAAGGCTTTTATTTTCATAAACCACACGGACGTGAATGCGTCTGACTGTTCTGATTGGCTAAAGTAGATGTCTTTACGTCAGCACGTTCTAGACGTGCATGCGCTCTTTCCGGCAATCGTCCTTCTGCGTTCACACAGAGCAGCTTTCCGGCAAATTACCAGTAAAGTTACAAGTTCTCTTTCCGGATAATAGCCGGAACAAATTTACCGGTATTTTTAAAAAAAGGCCCTGGTCACGCATACAGAACCTTCCGGAAAAGTGCCATATCTAAATAACTATGTTCTAATTTATTTTCCACATTGGCAAAATCAATATTAGCACAAAGCACTGTACACTACTGTACACAAAACAAAAACAATAACAATTGACTGATCATAAAAAAATATGTTCTTAAAATCTTTTTATCAAATACTAAAATATCACCACGATATTCACAAAATACTAATGATTTCAATATTGACAACAATAATAAATGTTCTTTAAGCAGCGAGTTAGCATATCTGAAAACTCATGTAAGACTGGAACCTAAAATAATGATGCTTAAAATTCTGCTTTGCAGCACAAAATTTTTAAAACCGATCTCTGAAAATTTGAATAAAGAAATATGCACTGTATAAAAAAAAACTAATTAAGAATTTTTT